AAAGAGAGAAAGTGAAAAATCATTGGGAGTGGAGGGCACCACACCACAATCCCTTCTTCTTTTCTTCCCCAGTCTACTCTCAGGATTTTGGACACATACATATATGCACCCAGCATGATTTTCTTTCTTATTTTTTCAAACAATACTTTTATTATTATTTTTGTTTTACGTTTAATTACTTCATATTGTTAGAATGTATTAAATGAATTTTCCTAGCACAAATGCACTGTATGTTAGTCTAGTCAAAGATATTACTATACACATTATCATCAACAGATAACTTTCCATGTTTATGTCTCTTAAATGTTTTGCTTCTTCCTTTTTCCCCTGGATTCCCTTCCTCTCACCCTCTCCCATTTCCCACCCTCCGCCCACACTGTCTTCAGTATCCACAATTGCTTTCCATGCTTTTACACCTTCCAGTCTTTCAATTTCTGCCATCAAGTGCAGACATTCGGTATATATTGAGTGGGGACATGCCATACCTCTCTTTCATAGTCTGGCTTGCTTCACTTAGCATAAATCTTATTCATCCACTTTCTATCAGATGCCAGGGTCTTGTTGTTTTTTTATGACTGAGTAGTATTCTGTAGTGTATATGTGCCACATTTTTTCAATCCATTCATCTCTTCATGGACATTCAGGTTGATTCCATGTCTTAGCAGTTGTGAATAATGCCACCGAAAGAGAGAAAGTGAGAAAGCAAACTGCCAGGTCTGGGACTTGAACTGTAGTCAGCCATGTGCAAGTCCAGCATCCCACCCACTGCACCATCTGCTGGCCCCCTGACTGAGTGTATTTCTATCCTTTGCGTAGATACCCAGCATGATTTTCAAGCTGCCAGATCTGGTACTTTAACCATGTAGTAGTTCACGTGGGATCCCATGCCTTAACCTCTATGCCACCTGCTGACCCCTGGAGTGGGAAGTTTGGAGACAAGGTTCAGTTTCAAGGGGCCCCGTTGATGAAGCCCAGGCTACTGCTAGGCTGAACAGGTGATGAGGTGATGGAGGTGAGCAGGGAGTGAGACAGCCCAGCCAGGTTTCTGGCCCTGATCCTGGCTTTGCCAGCTCTGCTCCAGCTGTTTCTGCTCCCTCCTGGAGTTTGGCAAGTGGGGCCAGAGCCAGCAGCACAGCCAGGGCTGTTAGAAGCCTCCCTGGATAGGGGAGGCCTGCTGGGGTCAGGCAAAAGCTGGAGTGATTTCTCTGTCTACAGAGAAGACCCAGGCAGGGGTGAATCTTAATTCCTGTGGGACGTCTTGGGGTGATACAAATCCGGGCATTGCCCCCCATTCCACCCACGGGGTCTTGCTAAAAAGAACATTCCAACCAGATTGTGGAAGGTAGAATGGGGGTTGGGACAATCGGTCACTGTCTCCACCCAGTCCCAACCTCGGAGCCCTGCTCTGATGGGAGGTATCTGCTCTCCTCATTAACATGTGGGTTAAAGTGCAAGTGAAAGGGCCAGAGGGTGGCACAGTGGTTAAGGTCTGGACTCCCACATGGTCGACTACAGTTTGAGTCCTCGACCTGGTGGTTTGAAAATTCACACCAGGGACATGTACATGCAGGCCCAAAATCTCGAGAGGAGAATAGAGGAGGGATTGCGACGTGGCCATTCCCCCGTGGGGTGATTTCTTGCTTTCTGTCTCTGTCTCTCTGATGCGCACATGGTGCCCTATTGCAAAAGTTTCTTTAAAAAAAAAAAATACAAGTGAAAGAAATGGAAATTTGAGCTGCCTCATTCTTGTGCTTCCTGAATGCTTAGACATCATGAATTGGAGGGTCAGCCCTGTCAGCCAGTGGTTAAGAGCTGCGCGTTGGGAGCCAGATCCCACACGGCTGGCCACAGTTTGAATCCTGGCCCTGGCAGCTAGGAAAACACCTATGGGGGACTAGCAGGTTGTGTGGTGGCTAAGGCACTAGACACTCCCACATAGCCAACCACAATTGGAGTCCTGGACCTGGTGGCTTGCTTTCTCACTTTCTCTCTCTCTCTCTCTATCTCTCTGGTCAAATTAAAATAAATGAATGGATAAATAAAATTTTAAAAACCCCACATACCACATATGTGTTTGCGTGTCCAAAATCCTGACTGAAAGGAGAAGTGGAAGAAAAAAGATTGTGGTGTGACCATGCCTCGTTGAGGGATCTCTTCTCTCTCTGTCTCTTTCATGAGCACACATGCACCCTGGCCAAAAAAAAAAAAAACAGTTACAAGTTGAAGAAAACAAAATTTGAGGATCGATGGTTTATGATTCCACTGATGGAAAATATTTGTTAACATTATCGGTTTTTTCATTTGATAAATGCCTTCTGGCTTAATCAATGTGTCCTAGTGCTTACAGATGCTGCCATTGGCTCCTTCATCCCCGTTGCCCAGCTCCCCTTCCCCCACACCATGACAACGGACGTGTACATTGTGATTCTACGTCGTGTGTGCTGATCGGGTAGCTCAGGGCAGTCACAGTGGATTCTGTCCTCCTCCTCAGGCTCTGGACACCATCCTGGAGAAGATGAAGGCTTCGGGCTTTGACTTCTCTCAAGTCCTGGCCTTATCCGGGGCAGGACAGGTGCGTTTGCAGCCGCCTCTGTGTGCCACGGGAGGGCTGTGGCTGGGACAGTGACGTGTGTGCTGAGGTGACAGTTCCCCTCGGGGGCTCTCCTCTTGAGAGTCCTTGCGCTCATTTCACTGTTAGGAACAGTCTCTAGACCCATGTGCCTCGGGGATTGTAAAACTTGCCTTGTTGCGAAAGGATCTGAGACAGCTCTCATGATAAGCATTGTGCAGAAGAGTCTCTGCCCACCTGGGACACGACTCTGGGGCTGTCCCTGCTTCTGCCATCTTCTCACCTCGATGTCCAAGAAGTCCCCACACCCCGTTGATCCCTACTTGGCCCTGAATCTACCACCTCTTCTCCAGCATGTCTCTGTCACCCCCGGCCAACGCTGTCCTTTTTCTCTGGGCCTCTGGCCTGCCTTCTCTGCCTCTGGCCTGCCTTCTCTACGACTCCCACGAGCCCCTGCATCTTTTCAGGCCTGCTCACTTCACTCCCCTGCCAAGTCAGGGTTCCCACTGCCTCCAGGATAAACCCCAACCTCCTGAGCATGGTTTCAAGGCTTCGGGGTGCAGCCTGCCATCTCTCCCTCTAGCCCCTCCACTGCCACCCTGGCTGCAGGCCCACTGCTTGTCCCCCTTCCTGGACGGCCAGGCCGTCTGTCACCTCTGGGTACCATCTGCATGGAGCACTGCACCTCCCACTGGGCCTTTCCTCATCCTCACGTCCACTCTCGCCCTCTGTACCCAGCTGGCTAGGCTGTCTGTGTCCCCACTGCCCATCACCGCAGCTCCACAGGGTTTATAGTACATGTGTGTCTTTTTCCCTACCTTAATTCCAATATCCTGGAAAACAGGGAAAATATTCCTTTCATCTGTGCCTTGCTTGGTGTGATCTAGGTGTTCAACAGATGTTTGTGGAATGAGTAAACGGGATGAGAGAATGAACGTGCAAATTCAGGATGAAGCTATGAGCAATATACATGTGTGTAAAGAACTCGCCAGAGAGTGCTTGCGCTTGCCGGAGAGACAGAGAGAGAGAGGAGAGGGCACTTCAGTGGACTCGATCATGCCAAGTCTCGTCTTCTCTTCTCCATACCGTCAGGGTCTCGGACACAAGCACACGCACCATGTGTGTTTTATAAGCTGCTGAAGACAGGCTCTAAACCACAGTCGGCTATGTGAGATCTGCCTCCCTAACCACTAGGCTATGGGGCCAGCCTGTGAGCAATATATTTAATACTGTTTTATGAAAGGCACCCAAATTCCTTTTTTTTTTTTTTTTTTAATTTTTGAGAGGTTTTTACTATAGGGCATGTGCGCTCACCAGAAAGACAGAGAGAGACAGGAAGACAGAAAGCAAAAACTCACTCCCTAGGGGGGATGGCCATGCCGCAGTCCCTTCTCCTCCATTCTCCTCTCGGGATCTTGGGCACGCACGCACACGCGCCTGGCGTGAGTTTAAGTCACTGGGTCTGGCACGCGAACCGCAGTCGATTACATGGGAGTCCAGCGACATAACCATTATGCCAACTGCTGGTCTTGGCACCCAAATTCTTGTTTGAACACTCCCTGCAAATGTTGGGTGGCCAGGCAGAGTTCCTCCCCATTTTACAGAAATGACAACCGAGGGACCAGCAGTAATGGCTATGTCGGTGGACTCCCACATGGTCGACCGCGGTTCGTGTCCCAGACCCGGTGGCTTAAACTCACGCCGGGCGTGTGTGCGTGCGTGCCCAGGATCCCGAGAGGAGAATGGAGGAGAAGGGATTGTGGCATGGCCATCCCCCCTGGGGGGTGAGTTCTCGCTTTCTGTCTTTCTGTCTCTGTCTGTCTGGCAAGTGCACGCACCCTATAGCAAAAACCTCTCCAAAAAAAAAAAAGAAAAAAAAAGAAATGACAACCGAGTCTCGCAGGCCTGGAGCCCAGATCTTGGGCATGTGCCCCGGAGTCCATGGCACCAGCGTGTGGCTTGTAAACATGTGTTTGGGTCCTCCCCAACAGCAACATGGGAGTGTATGTTGGAAGACCGGGGCCAGCCGGGCACTGACGAGCCTGTCACCAGACCTCCCGTTACACCAGCAGCTGCAGGTAGGCACGGCCATGATTGTTTGTTTGAGACAGTTTTGCAGCGGCAAAGGGCCCCAAAGTCTGGGACTTCTATGCGTTGTCACGAGCGTAAGATGCAGTGGCTTTGGCAGTAGTCCTGCCTCCCTGTGATGGAGTGCCTGGGTCTGGGCAGAGGGGCAGGTACTGAGCAGTCCTCGTCCCTTGAGTCCCCTCCTGCCCTACACAATTCCCCTGGCCCCTGCGGAATCTCCCATGGTGCATGTGCTTCCTGGCCGTACTGCGGTGTAGACCTGGCTCTCACCTCTCACTCCTGGGCTCCACACGCCCCGGCCCAGCTGCACCTTGCTGTGTCTGTAGCCCTGCCCTGCCCTGCCCGTCTCTGATGCGGCTCAAGAGCTTCTGCCTCAGGCCTGTCACCCTCAGGCTTGAAGGAGAGACTGGGCCAGGCCAAGGTTGGGGCACGAGGGCTGCCCATGGGCGGCAAGGTCATGTCTAGGGAAGAGTGGGCCAGGGGACCACCTGCACCCACGTGGCCCCTCGAGGCACTGGATGGAGTGGAGGCCTCCTTTGCTGCTCCTTTGCAGGCCTGCTTCTCCGTGGCCGACTCCCCGGTGTGGATGGACTCCAGCTCCACTGCCCAGTGCCGCCAGCTGGAGGCCGCTGTGGGCGGGGCCCAGGCTCTCAGCGGCCTCACGGGGTCTCGTGCCTATGAGGTGGGTAGCGCCACGGTGCCCTGGTGACGGGTCCCCTCTCCCTGGGTGTCTGGGAGAGAGAGCTGGTGACCACGTGAAGGGGTGAGGGTGGCACTCTGGCCTCGGGTCCTGGTCCCGGCTGCCCCCCTGCCTGTGCGTTCCCAGGTCAGGGTGGGGTGTGAATATGGTTGTGCTCTCACGCTGAGCACGTGTGCAGGGAATAGTGCTGACGCCTTGGTCACCCCGTTACCTGGCACAAAGCAGGACCTACCTTCTGGGTGGTGTGGGAGCTGAAAGGAGCTGGTGCATGTAAGATCCTTGGAGCATTGCCTAGCAAGGTTTAAAACTTAAAAAAAAAATGCATTTTTCCTGATGACTTGGGCCATAGACCCAGTTTGCATTATCAATTCAATTCAAAAATTCATTTTGCATTTTTCTCATTATCAGGCCATTTTAATTTTTCTTTTTCTTTCTTTCTTCCTTCTTTTCTTTATTTCTTTCTTCCTTCCTTCCTTCCTTTCTTTCTCTCTCTTCCTTCCTTCCTTCCTTCCTTCCTTCCTTCCTTCCTTCCTTTCTTTCTTTTAGAGGTTTATGCTATAGGGAGCCTGCAGGCGCCAGAAAGAGAGAGACAGAGAGACAGAAAGCAATCCCTTCTCCTCCATTCTCCTCTCGGGATCCTGGGCACGCACGCACATGCGCCCGGCATGAGTTTAAGCAACTGGGTCTGGGACTCGAATCGTGGTCGACTACATGGGAGTCCAGTGACATAGCCATTATGCTAACTGCTGGTCCCTGAGAAGTCAAGCTCTCCTGACCGAAAGGGGTCAGGATGAGAGGCTTTAGGGGTAGGGCCAACCCTGCTTGGGGAGATACCTGAGTCGAGTTGCCTGCTCTGGTGCCTAGCTCAGAGCAGCTGCGTGCTGTGTGAAGGGCAAGGGTGTTCACAAAGGTCATCTAGTCCTGACATGTGAGTGTCCCGGGAAGGCCCAGGGTTACGTCCACACCCCATGCATACTCAGCAAATAAGCTTGAGGATTTCATTACTGAAGACATTTCAAGGATTCAAAGGCCAAATCGCACTGTCTTG